TCTCCAGTGGTGTGCACATCTTGGAACACACCTGAAAGTTTGTCGAAGTCAGCAATACTCCGTAGCATTTGTCGCACTAGTGAGCCAAGAATGGTGCGTGCTTGCAGACTCTCGGGTAGATCGTGTCTGCAGAAGAAGTATGCTACCAAGGGTCGATCTCTTTCGTCAGAGAGATTGAGATCGTCCACGATGTTGGCTAGCAACACAGACTTTCCTGACCCTAACTTGCCCGTGAATACTATTGTGCAATTTTGTGAGCTATCCTTCCACTCTCTATATTCGTCGAAACGTGTAAAGAGCGATGTATTCCCGACCTTTCTTGTCTGCTTCCAAACTGTTTCGTAATCGTACACGGAGCAGAGGTCAAGCACCTGCTTTTTTGCCGCAAGTTTCTGTTGGTACAATGCGGAGTCGAACATTGATCGGGATAATGCTCGAAACCCAGAGCTTTGTTGGAATTCACTGACTTGCATCTCTTTTTCAATCGAGTGTGCCCATTTCTCGAGGTCATACTGGAACGTTTTCAGCTCCCCTCCACTCAACGATGATGTGAATTGCTGGAGAGGGGACTTTTGGCCGAACCTGAGCAAGTAATGACACAGAGCAACGACCACGATGAAATATTCGAGGATGTAGACCTGTAGCTTTTTAGAGAGTGGGTAGAGCACAGCAATTTCCTGATGGCGTGGACAAGAGCGACCAAGGTCCATGAACATCGATGATAGTTTCTCTACGTGGTTTGACACGCTCACAAACGACTGTGTACCATCAGTAACTGACGTGAACATGGATACAACAACAATTACTCACCAATATCGACATGCGTACCAATGACCACACGCCACACGCGATCGGGTTTTGTGAGCTTCCAACCACGATATCCCCAAGCGCAGCGAACTGCTGAACAGCTTGGAGAAAATTGGTAAAGCGCGGACCGAAGCATCGATTGCTAAATTTGTTGGACATGCGGCGGTCAATCTCGGCGGTCAGTCGCATGACATCGCTTGGTGTGGGTGTCGCCAAAAGTGTCTGCGACTTCAGCGTACGAAATGCGGACTTTTGTTCGCTTGACAGATCGGCTTCAAATTCAGAGACAGCTTGAGCGAGGCGAATTTCGGGACTGAGCGACCCAGCTTTAGCTAGAGCTTTGGACATGGTTGTTGCCCGCAAGCTGTAGGACAGGTAGCTTCAAGCCAAAGCTGACGCCGTATGGCGAAGTTGTTGGTAAGCCAGAGCGTGGTCAAGAGTTGAACATCGTGGTGATCAGGGGTGCGGCTGGGGTTGCTGTGTGGCTCAATTTGGCGTCATGTAGGTATGAGGGTCAGCAAATTATAGAGTATCGTCTGATGAAGATAAGGAAGCAAAGAATGAAAAGGTAGAAGCAGGCTGCTAGGTGAACCGTCAGGCTGAACAAGAGCTCATGTGCTGCGCACCAGGCTGACAGGCTGCGCTTGGCTGCGCATCTCAGCCGCTGCCCCGCTTGCCTCTCTCAGGTGCACTGCCGAAGTTATTGGTGCCTATTTACTTTGCCTCTCGTCGTTGCATTGCGAAGAAGACCATTAGACCCTGACCGAATGAGCTAAGAGCTTGAACTCTGACAAGGACGACCAGAGTTGCCCGGTGTATAGGACACCTGCATGGTATGGCCATGGCACGCTCTCTTCTTTACCGGTGTTATCTAAGACCTTGATGTTGAAAAGACAGCACGAGCGGCTTGCAGAGATTCAGCTCACAAACCGCCAAGCACAAGAAACACAATCTTTGTATGGGTATCACATTCTTCCTACATACGAAAATACACATCTTATTTCTATATTTCCCTAAAAGACCCCTCAACAGGCTTCCTACTGACCCCAGTATACTGTTGTTGAGATTGTTGTTGTTGCTGTTCCGTGCCCGGAGTGAAAGCGCGATATGGCTGCTGCTGCTGTCCCACACTCCCCGCCACAGGTGTATACGACCTCTGCCCTGGGTATGCCGGAGCCGCATTTGTGAAAGAGCCATGGTTTGTTGACTCGGAAGCTGCATAGCCGGGCTGCAACGCTGCTGGTGCTGGCGGGGGCGTGTAGGTATCGTACGACGGCGTGGAATCGTTGTTGTAGGCGTACGGGTTTGCCGCGGGTGGTGAGGGGGATTGGTGGCGGTGGTCGGGTTCGTCGTAGTAGTCGCGCTGGTCGTAGGTTTGCGGTTGGTTGTAGGAGGGTTGTTGGTTGTAGGGAGGTTGCTGGTTGTATTGACTGAGCTGGTCGTGGGAGTCGTAGGCTTGGGGCGCGCCTGGCGAGCGGCGGCCGTAGGGCTGTTGCTGCTGCTGCGGTTGCTGTGGCGCGTATCCATCGTTTGCGCTGTAGACTGGCGATAGGGTATGCCCTGGCGAACCTCTGCGGTAGTCGTCCTGCTGCGCGTATGGTCGGCCGTATGCACCCTGGCCGTTCAACGGGGCTCCTTCGCTGACGAAGGAATCGTTTTGATAGCCGCTTTGAGGGTAGCCCTGACCGTAATTGTCCATTGGCGACACTGGGGACCGGCCCGGGCCAGGCGATCGTCGTTGTGTGGGCACAGCCGCCGCTGCTACGCCTGCCATTGATCCTCCTATGGGACTGCCATTGCGGTCTAGCCTGTCCATCTCCATGTCGCCTTGCTTCTGGGGCATGGGTTGTTCCTCGACTTGGACATGTACGTCGCGCCCGTCTTTCCACGTGGGCATTGCGGGAAGCGAATCTTCGTTGACGACGGCTCGTGTCGAATCGAAGGTCGCGAATTGCGGTCTCTCGGACTGCGCGGCTGGCGCGAAGGTGGGCATTGCGTTGGAGCGATATTGCTGGTTCACCGGGCGGGTGTCGATGGGCGGAGGAGGCGGCGCAGCGGCATGCGCCTGGGCGTAGGGGTTCTGGTTGTAGGGGTTCATGGGAGGAGGAGGCGCTCCATATGGTGTGGGATACGGGGCGGCGAGATCGCTCTTGACGCGCTTGTGGCCTCTTCCACCACTGCCGCTGCAGCAGCACGTGCAGCATCTAAAGCAGCAGCACGCGCACTCGGCGCCGCAGCATATGCATCGCGCTATGCAGGTAACGACGGATATGACGATGAGGGCGCCAATGATGATTACGACGATAACCGGCCATCTGTTGTCTGTAAGCAAAGGGGAAGCAGCCCGAGGCCTGGCGATTCAACGCACTTGCAGTAGGCCTTGGCCATGCAGTTGTCCCATGAACTGAGCGTGTTCTTGGCCTCATCCAGCGGGTTCTGGCGCGCAAACAGCGAGTGGACGAGTAGCGACGGCATGGCGATAGCGAGTGTCCAAAGAGGCGACGCGTTGGGTGTGTCTTCCGTCCAGCGGGTTAAGGGAGTCGTTCGCGGTGCAGAGGCCGGCCGGGGTATATGGCTATGGATGGGGATATAACGATCGACGGGACAGGACGTGCCTCATGTCGCTACAGGAGTTCACGGCATCAAGGAGGAAGTACAAGGCGAGGCGTGAGTGTCCGGGTCATGTGGTGGTGCATCGCTTGCTTTGACGTCCCCTGGAATGACGCTGGGTGCCAAAGGCGAAACGGCCGTGAAGCTTGGAAGGGGCGGGACATGGCCAAGCACCCATGCCGACGCGGTCGCCGTGGCTGAGTAGCCGCTAATCCGCGTTTCGCACCAACATGCCCTCTTTCCCCGCAAAGCCTATCGTGGCGCTATCGTATTTAGACCCGAGTGCAAGATTGTGTCCTCGCTTTTCGATCGCGCGCAGTAGCTTTACCATGGTTGGCAACCATATGGCGCGGAGTGGAGTTGACAGCGGGGAGGGAGTACGCAATGCTGGTGACGCCTCGCGGCATGCCATCAACAAGAGAACGCCGAACGTCAACAAACCCGACATCCTCGCATGCCATTCCGGTTGCATGGCACGATCGTCTTCTCCAAAGCTTGTAGTGTACTACGCGTTCAACAGGTACCATCCGGCAAGAACGGCAGAGGGCGTGCACTTCTATCCGATATCCGACATTGACATATGTAGAGCACGTCGTCTCCTTAGGTGTCATGTCGTTCCATCTATTCCACATCAATGATGCCCTTTACTCATGAACTCCGAAATTGGATTGCTGTCTGGTGTCTCGTGAGTTTGTTGAGCGGGTGGTATGATATACTCTACGTCTGTCTACGCCCTTACAGCTTGCTCGGTGGCAGATGGCATGCGCCTTTCTTCAAGCCCATGGAACAATGGGCTGCTTTTGATAACCTATACGGGGCGCAAGCATGTATACAAGGCGACACTGTCTTATCGACCAAGACCAGCATCAGCTGCTTCGAGGTGAACCTCCACCTAGCCTACTTGTGCCAACTCGCTCGGCCGGGCGCGCTGCGTTCGACATTGGAAGGCAGGCGCGTCGCCGGTCGGTTCGCTCCACAGATAGCTCTATGTGGTCTCCTCGCTTTTGTCGTACAGGCAACAAAGCAGATGTTTTACAGTAGGTTCAGTACTTCTCGGAAGGTGTTTGCGAAGACATACTGAGCGTCAATGTAGTTGGAGTGCAGTCCAATTCCAAGGCCTTCAAAGAACATACATCTTCCAGTTTGATTTGGGTTATGGTTAGGTACGCCGGTAGCGCATCGTATAACACAAAGTCTACGTTAACGTCCAACCCAGTTACGCGTCCCTTACCATCTCTGCGTGTGCAGCAATATCCTTTTTGAAAGAGATACACGCTGGCTTGTTGGAGGAACACGTGACCCAACCACCTCCAGCATCTACCACGGAGAAGCCGCCGACACAGGATCCACGATAGGCATGCAAGATATCTTGTTTACCCACCGACCTCTCCACAGTAGTCTTGGACGGTGCTGGCCGCGTCCACAGAACCAAAGTTCCCAGGTGCCAAGGGCTGCCCCTCCCCCACCACCCAGCGGCAGCTTCCCCTTCCAGCCAGCTTCCAGCCGCGGGCCTGCCACACTCATCTACGTCACCGATCACGCACTACCCGCTTGCTACAACGCCCAGGCCTACATAACCAGCCATGTCTTCAACCCCCTCTGTTGCCGAACTGCAAGCCTATTCTGAAGAAGTACAAGCCCTTTACAAGAAACTTCCCAACCTCCGCGACCTGCCCGACAACAAAGTCAACGAGACAGCCGCACTCGAACAAGACGTCAAGAACCTCGACGTGAAAGAACAGACTCGTGAAGACAAAGTAGACGCCTACGTTAAAGGGTTCCTCTACATCGGCGGCCCGAAACCTCGACGACAGAAGCAATCAGTCACCACATCAACCTAAACAAACATGCCGGACCACCCAATTGAGCAGGGCGCCGCTGGCAGTACGTGGCACCTTCCTCTTCCCACTCACCACACCACCCAGCCTGCTCAAGCCATGACTGACGCGTCCCCACAGGCCTCACCGACAAGATCGCAAAGGAGTCCTCCGACTCGACCGCATCCTCGCACGACAACCACGCCGAGGGCGGAAACCTACTCGCTTCAGCTCACAACTCCAAGGTATGCCATTCGCGTGCCGTCGTTATACATCTGGGTCGGAACGGAAGCTAATGTAGTTGTAGGGCCCAGCCATTCCGGACAACATGCCCAAGGCGGAGAGCAAGGAGGACCTTAAGAAGAGGGCTGAGGAGTTGAACAAATAGAGTGGTAGAGGAATACGTCGATGTGGTGATCCATGTCTGGAGGCTATACATATATGCAGTCCCCAAATCTATTTTCCAACCTACAGTCTGGCATTGCCAGCAATTTGGACCCCGTTCGACAACCGCAGCCCAAAAGGCAATCCTCTGACGTATCTGTCGGTGTATGCAACTCCATCCATCTCCGCAAAAGCTTGCTCGATGTCCTTGTACATATCGTAGGCGTTCATCTCTTCAATGGTCAACTTCTTCGCCTCGTCCTCTACCTTGTAGTTCGCCATTGATGTATTGCTGCTGAAGCCTGCAAACATTTTCGTCAATACTCATTCTTCAAAAGGTTAATGATACCAATGTACGTACCAATGCGTTCGTTGATATTGGACGCTGCTTTGGCAGCTGAAGCCTGAACCTTTGTCGCGCGAGGTAGTCTGACTTTCTCGTAGACTGCGAGCGACTCCTGCACATCTCCTCGGAAATAGTTCTTGCTGAAGAGAATGCCCAGTGCAGCCGCGTCTTCTATCGCCATGCAGGCGCCTTGACTTTGGTGCGGCATCATCTGGGAAACGAATGTTAGTTTCAATATACATAAGAATGGGATTATGTAGGGGTGGTAGTGTCTTACCGGATGTGCAGCATCGCCAATCAACGCGACACAGTTCTTAACAACATACGGATAAGGCTGATGAACCCAAAGCCGCCACGGCCGCACCTCGATACCAATAGCAAGATGAGCTTTTACCTTCTCATCGAGCTCAGGGTACGGCGCAAGCAGTTCCTCGACAGGCAAATCGGCACCGCCCCACGTCTGATTCGCATAGTCGCCTTTCTCGCGCGGGAAGAAGCAGTAATATGAGAGAAGTTCGCCACCGTTGCAAGGTGAGAGGACGATCTTGTCCCACTTGCCCTCCTGGCCGCCCCAGTACTCTAGTGCGCTGTTGAGGGAGTAGTCTTCGAGGCCGAGTTTTTGGATGTCTTTCCGGAGGACGTTGGCGTGCAGGCAGCTGGATTCTGCGGGGTGTTTCTCGGGGTTCAGGCCGATTATCTTGCGGGTGACGGAGCCGATGCCGTCGGCGCCGATGATGAGGTCGTGGCGGACGGTGGTATTGTTGGAGAAGGTGATTTGGTTGGTTGGGAGGTGTATACTTTGGCACTGCGACTTCTCGTTAGCACATTCATGCGAAGAGAAAGATCGTATCTTACCGGATGGTTCACCAACAACTTCACCGGCATCCCCTCACCCTCCTCCTGCAGCGCACACTCCATAAGCATCTTATGCATATACTGCCGATGAAACATATTATACACATAACCCCACCGCTCCTCATAGTCATCAAGATCGTAAACGCTAACCGGCTCCCCCGTCGTCCAGTCCCGGTTTATGAGCTTCTTCAAAACAACAGGATCGCCTTTCTCTACATCGACACCCCATTCGTGGAGCCACCGGGTGCCGTTGGCGGCGCAGGAGACGGATGCGCCTGCTTCGCCGGCGAAGTCGTTGCGCTCGTAGATTGTGACGGTGTGGCCGGCGCGCCGGAGTGCGATGGCGCATGAGAGACCGCCGATGCCTCCGCCGATTATGCCTACGCTTAGGGGTCGCCAGCCGGCTTCTATTGAGCCCATGATTGCAGGGTTTGTGTTGGTTTTGTGGAGGGATGGATCGCTGAGGAGTTGGGTGTAGTTTGAACAATGGAAGACGATATTAAGAATGCTAAGAGACGAGTATGAGGATCATGATAATGGAAGACGCCTTTCTAATATACCGTACAAATACCATCTCCAGCTCATGCTCTGCAGCATCCCGATCCGGCTCGAGCCACACGGCTGATGCGAACCTTGCAAACTCGGAATCGTCTTATCTGCAGACGGCTATGTGGAAGCAATAGGCACCAATATCTTTGCAGACTTTACACAGACTGTAGTGATAAGACCTGCTGCTCATGACCAAAGTCGGAAGTTGGAGAAGTGGCGTAGCCGTAGCATGTCTGTGTAACGTCAATACGTGATACGTAGCCGACACGGAAGATCCGACGGAAGTCTTGTCGGATCGCCCCAGGGCTGTCTTGCAGGAGTGTACTAGTGGCTGAGGGATTGTGATCCTTCCGCCTCGAGACTTGCCATCTACTCTGGATATGCTTCGACTTCGCGGATGAACTCTTTCTCCTATGCCTTCTTCTTCGCAATCATCGATATCCAGCCTCGCTGGACTTGTGTCCATCCATATTTGACACCCGTGATTCGTTTGTGCAGCGCGAAGCCATCTTTGCAAATGTCATCGCACTGTGTTGGCTTTCGCATCCCACCAAGTCGTACGCTGATTACTTGTCAGGACTTCCTCAGTCATGCGATGCTGGGGAGCATGCAAATGCTGCTGTCACCGTCTCTGTAGTTGTTGCATCACATCTGCTACGTCGATACAACGGTAGGTCTTGCCTGTCGGCACATTCTGCGCCCGGAACTCTGCTTCCGTCGGATGTTGCGTCTTGACCCACTATTACCAAATCCTCGAGATAAGAAAGATAACGCCTGCGCAATGAAGGTATGGCGATCACGGATGGTGAGTTGAATAAGAAGTGTATTTCTGAGCGATGTATGATGTTGTCGGACCAGATCTTGTCATTCGGCGAGAATTTTAGCGGCGGTCCTTGTTGTGCACCTGCCGGCCGCCGTCGGCTGTTTCCAACCAACACCTTTCCACAGACCCGACTTTGACGTCGCAAAGAGCAACTTCTCACTATCTTGCTCTGCACTTGCCTCTCTCAGCTCATGTGTCGCATTCGCATGGTGTACTTGGGGCTTTATTCCAGGCGTTCAGATTATCACGCTGTCCCGCACGCCCATCACCCCGAAGATTTACACAGGTAGGTGACGAGGTGCACGGTAGTAGTACGAGAGAACACAACTCACTGAAACATCTTACGGTACGCCCAAGAGTCTATAATTCATGTCTTAATGCCAGCTAGTCTACGTACAGCGTGTTCATCACCCCCAGGCCGCTTTTCCCTCAATGAATATGATACTGGATAAAAAGGTCATCGAGCGCAGCGTCGTCTCTATTGGTCAAGCTCCTAGATTTGCCAATCGCAGCTATACCTTGAAGGATTTGAGGACTGATAATCTCGATCGCATTATCCGACTCTTCGCGCTTGCGCACGATGATCCAACCCGGTAACCCACACACCAGCAAGGCTCGATCGTCAACCTTTGTCTTGTCTGAACAGGCCAAGAGGCAGAACGTTCCAGGATTGACCGAGCTGCTCACGTAGCAAATCTTCCGCTCAACCTCAGCGATGAAGGTAGACAAACAGTTTTGAGTTGCCATGAACTTTTGGAACCACCTTGGAGTCTTGGTGCCATCCATCCAGAGAGTAAGGCATCCTTCAAGCTTGTCTCTTCTCGACCCAGAAAGAGTCTTTCCCCAGTTGATTCGATCTTTTTGGCTTGGCCATGCAGCCTTGGCGCTGATTGGGAAGAGCTCCTCAAGTGTTGGCTGCGCATAAAAGATAGCATGGATCTTGCAGCCAATAGTTTGCGCCCAGTCTGCCCATTGAAGCATGCTTCGTAGGTTTTCCACATGCGCACATCGTTCGTCGGTCTCTATCCCGCGATATACACGACATGAACGATGCCTGAATCCACCCATCCAGTGATGGCGAAGGGAATTCCACCTCGAGAGTTCAGGCTCATCTGCCTCTAACGCTATCGCCTTTATCGGGTAGAAGGAAACACAACCGCGAACGGTACCAGCGTCCCTAGCAAGCACCGTGAGCATGTTTTGAGTAGAGTCTACTGACAAGTTCTGCCGAGCACGGAGCATGCGGAGTCTGTCCTCTGACCCTGGTGGATACCTTACAGCTATTCCATGAAGATCGGTTCCTGGATATCCTGGTACGTCGCGCCAAGTGTTGCTACTGAAGGTAGACCAATCTGGAATCCACGATGGGGTACCTGGTAGCCGTCGCGCAGCAGCGATGTGCAGGAACCTTAGGTTACCAGTCGTCTGAAATAGATGAATGGTGAGTTGTCGGTAGAGTAAGGGTATCTGTGCCTCCTTTGCGACGTCATATATCTGCGCCGAAAGGTCAATCACTCCACGCTTGCCTAAGATGGCCCAGATACCGTATGCCATGTCTCTTGGATCGGTAGCTGCTCTCTGGTACAGCGCACCCACCAAGTCGTCTGACGCAGTCTCCTTGATATCGCCCCGATAGGTCTGATATTCGGGGCGCAGCTCGAAGCAGATGAATATGATACAAAGGAAAACCCCGAAAATGCCGATGTACATGAACGCATTCTCAGTCCTACGCGCAAGTACAAAATGTACTCTCCACTCAGGATACTTTCGAGAGCAGACAGACACAACACCGACCAACAGAGTTGTCATTGTGTATGCCAAGAGCAAACCAGTCGCTGTACTCAACAGCCATCGGCGTGTCAAGATGATTTTCCTAACGATGGTTTCATGCTCTTGGAGAGTGTGGAGCACGCTACGTTCCATCGGTCGATTAAATGATTGCAGTTGCCCCCTGTCAAAGACGATTGCCTCCCATGCGATGGCTGCCCTGGGAAAGTGTCTGAACGAAGATCGTAGAAACAAAAATGTCCACTCGAAATCGGACCACTGGACGTGTTCGGTTCCACACACAATCACTGGGTATGAAGCCAGCAGGATCTCTTGGTAAGTCCACAGCCGATCCTTCCACGGCCGGTCGAAAAGGTAGACGAGATCTGCCCCTGAGACGTATTGCACCCTGCGAGTGAACTTAGCTAATAGAGGCGAATTGTTCCCTTCAAGTGTTAGTTTGATATACTTGGTAAATAGATGTGCACTTACCCCGAAATGGTTCCGGGTGGTACGTGAGACTCCACCTGGAAAGACCAAGACGTAGCGCTGCAAGATAGGGTCGATATTGCGGTGGTCTATCCGGCACGACGTTGACATATTTCTTCAGGCCGCCGTCCGCCAGGTATCTCATGGCGCGGTTGGAGCTGTCATCACCCTCTCCCAGCCAGACATACACTTGCGCAGCCTTGGTGTAAATGTCCCCCATGAGAGGAATCTGCCACGCCTTCTCTTTTCTCACGTCTTCTTGGTCGATGCAAATCGCGTCAACCCAGATTACCAGACCGCCGAGCTTCTTACTCAAGTGCCACAAGGCTGAGTAACAATTCTCGCCAACATCGAATACAACGCCGTCACATATGATGCTGCGCTTAGGTGTTGGTTTGCCCCACACGTATGATAATGCTGTGAAAGCGGGATTAAGGTCGAGATTGATGATGCGTAGAGTGCATTCGACTGGCGTGCTTTTGGTAGCATCTTGCGGAATTGGGCGCACGTCGAGGACGCGTATTATTTTCGTATGTGGGCGAAGAGCATGCCTTTCGTAGACGGCCTGCTTATTTGATGGATTTTGTTCAGCTTGCTCTACGTGCAAGGTCGCATCTGCCATTGTTGGTGTGGCACACTGAGCGCGCAAGGCTGAGAGATAGATAGCGCGAGACCTCGAGAAGATGCGTAGGTTGGGCGGAAGCGTTTTACGCTACAGGGCATCTGAGTAGTAAGCGGGAATGAACTTGACAAGCTGTACGTTAGGAGTTTGTAGAAGTGGAATACAGTAAAGAAAAGTCTGTTGCGAAGAACTTGGGTGAGCAAGGCTGAGAGACACTAGTGTGTATGTGCATACACGACCTCGCGGATGTTGTATAATTAGACTGTGTGGCTGTCGTAGCGTTTCCTTGCACTTTAGCATAGAGAAGATTTGATGTAGCCTTGGGTCTGACGAAGCCGCTTTACGTAGGCAAGCTGGTTTAAGACGCCGTAGATGCTATATCACTACTCATCATGCATGCGCTACATTGGTTGCCTTCCGGGTGTCAAGTTAGACAAATGAAGCATTGCGACGTTGTCGTGAAAGCGTTGGAGATCGAAGCAGACTCATCAGATTCACGCGCAGTTGGAAATGCATATACGACGTTATAATTGCGTTCCGATTTTCTTCATCAGTTACTTTTGAGCATGCCATCTCATTCATCATCATCCTTCCTCGGCCGCGGCGGCTTCTGTCCATACACCAGCGACCTGCACAACACGTCAGCACCATTCAAACCATTACCACCAACTCAACGACCATCAACTTACACTTCCTGATACGCATGAATCCCCCTCGTCCTCAACGCCGTCCGCATATGCGCAAGATAAACCTCAACCTCCTGCTTCGTCCACCCCATAATCGTGGTAAGCAGATACAAGCTCCACCCCTCAATCCCCTGCTCCCAATTAATCCTGTTATACTGCCCCAGCTCCTTGAACCGCTTATCCGCCGGCCAGCCACCAACCGGCAACTTCCAGCGATGTTCAACAACATTTATAAAGCCCGCGGCTTCTATCCCCGCGCGCTGTTCGTCGGCTGTGCGCAGCGATTTTCCGAAGCGGTCGCCGAGTTCGAGCGAGAGCTTGCCCCAGCGGTCGTAGATGGAGCCGGGGGTTACGGTGCCGTCGTCGGATTTGGGGACGACGGAGAATTCGAGCTGTTCGATGTAGCCGCCGGGTTGGAGATGGCTTGGGGAGCGGGGTTAGTATGGGTGCTGGTTTCTGAGGTGTGGGGTGTGGAGACGTACTC